GGAGGAGGGAGGCATCCACATGAGTTTGAAATGGCATTTGAGGGTTCACAATTCAGACTGGAGTTAAGTTTGGGTGTATGGGTGGGCAGGCAAAGGAAACTGTCACAAAAGCATGGTTGGTGGCAGATCAAAACATCACAGCTACAGGGGGACCACAGAGGCAGGACTGGGACCATGATGAGACACATACATGGTTCGACAGAGGGCTTACAAGATTAGTCCAGGCCTTCCACCCAAGGCAGCCAGGGCCAAATGGACAGGGCCTGACTCATGACTACAAGACCCCCTGTACTGTCCCACATACAGTGACCTCCATCAAGGACATATCGAGGCAAGTCCCAAAGAGAGACACTGTTCCTCCCCGAGCTGGCCAGAGAGGATGGAGGCAATCCACTCTTCAAGGCATTCAGACTTATTCCTCATCCCTGAACCCAGGGCCATGTCAGGCCCTCAGCAAGAAGGGGCGACAGCAGAGAGAGAGAGACTCAGAGAAAGCCATTCAGTAACGCTTTGTTTAGCATTTACTATGTGCCATCGATCCTATAGGGTCAGTCAATATGTACAGGGTAGAACTGCCCCTGTGAGTTTCTGAGACCGTAACTCTTTACAGGAACAGAACGTCTCTTTCTCCCTTGAAGCTTGTTGGTGGTTGCGAACTGCTGACCTTTCATTTCACAGCCCAGAGCATAACCACTATGCCACAGGGTTGCTGAATCAGAACTGACTCGATGGCAGTGAGTTTAATTTTTTTCAATGTGCCAGGCACTTTGGTAGAGCGGGGGTGGGGGCTGGGGCGGGGAGGGAGGAAGAAGGAAGGAAGAAAAAAAGAAAGAAAACTCCATAAAATAAAACACACAACAACAACACAACTCTGCCCTAAGGAACTTAAGAGTATTCTGGTGAGGGAAGACAGAAGACAAAATTCTCTCTATTCGCTTATGATGTGTGCTGCAGGGGAAAATAAGGACGGCAAGGCGGATGGCGAGAGCTGGGAGGAGCCGAAGGATCAGAGGAGCAGTCATGAAGAAGGGACTTTCAGGGAAAGGACTTGCAAAGGGAGGAGGGGAAAGACATGGGAGTGCATTCCAGGCAGGAGTGTGAAGGAATGGGAAGCCCAGTGGCAGAAGTGGACCAAGGGGGCAGGGGAGACGTGTCAGAAGAGGGATCAGCGTGCTAAACCACACTAGCTCTTGACGCTGTTGCAGGGCACAGGGCCTGACCCTGAGCAATGTGGGGAGATGTGAGAGGCTCCATGCAGCTTGAATGCTGTGCTGAGAACAGATGTAGGGGGAAAGGACAGAAGCAGGGAGAAGAGTTAAGTGGCTAAAAGAGTTACCATATGAGCTAGTAATTCTACTCCGTATATCAACCCCAAGAGAAACGAAACCATAGGCCTAAATGAAAATGTACACACAGATGTTCACAGGAGCCTTATTTACACTAGTCAAAAAGTGAAAACCATCCAAAAGTCTGAGGACCAAAATAGCAAAATGTGGTAGATCTGTACAAAAGAATAATACTCAGGCATAAACAGTTATGATAGATTGATACATGCTATAAAATGGGTGAACCCTGAAACCATTATGCTAAGTGAATGAGTCAGATATAAAGACCAAACTGAGCACACACCATTGACATGATAGGTCCAGAAGAGGCAACTCATGGAGGCAGGAAGAGGGAGTTGGGATCATTGTGGGGTGGTGGTTAGAGGGTACAGGGTTCCACTCTGAGATGATGAAGACCATTTTAAAATTCAGGGTGGTGGTCATTGAATGGTCCCATAAATATATTAAACACCATCGAATTATATATATTTTACATGGGTGAACTGCATGGTGTGTAAATTATATCTCAGTAAAGCTGTTAAATAATGACCAAAGGAAATTACTATGGCAATACAGAAAAAGAGACCAAAGGAAATTACTATGGCAATGCAGAGAGAGAGAGCGAGAGAGAGAAAAGAGGCGGGGTAGGGGTCAGGAGAGAGAAGGCAGAGAAATTAGACCTCTGAATGAGAGCTCTGCTTCACTTCCATCAGCCTGAGATGTCCTACAGGCTCGTTATTTAAAGACCAGTCCAAGGGCGACTTTCTGTGTGCAGAATCAAAGTCCCAAACCTTCTATGATGATGGAAGCAGTTCCATAGCTGTCCTGACATGACTCACCACAGGTGACTATTGAACATCTGAAACCAGGCAAGCACAACTAAAACTGCATTTGAAATGTCCTTGCCTCTCATTCTTTAGGTAGCTGCTACTGTTGTTAGGTGGCATCATGTCGGTTTTGAATCACAGGGACCGGATGTACAACACTGCCCTGCCCTGTGCCATCCTCATAGTTGTTGTTCTGTTTGAACACATGACTGTAACCATGGTGTCAATCCACCTCGGTGAGGGACTTAGCCTTCTCCCCTGATCCTTCCCCAGGTTTTGGTCTTTCTCCAGGGATGGATCCCTCCAGAAAACAGGTCCAAAGTATGGAGGGCAAAGTCTTGCTGTCCTTTAAATAGCCACAACGTCACCCGAGCTCCTTTTAAATCGCTCCAGATGACTCGTGGCCACCATATTGGACAGTGCACGTCTAGATTATTCTAAATGTTCTCTTCTCTTAACACTTCTTTTCAGAGCCCCTCGAGTAGGGATTTAAGCAGTTTCTGGATCTTTCCTCTCGTTTGTAGTTTACTTTCCCATTTAGTGCTCCTCTCCTGGCTTTCTCTTCCTAGAGAAGTTTCAGACTCTCTGAAGTCAGACCACAATGACGGTAACACCTGGGGTCTAGTAAACCTCGTCTAGACCCTCCCTACGATGGGCTGACACACAGCAACCTGGGGATGGTGCAGGACCGGGCAGGGTGCCCTCTGGTGCACAAACAGTCACTAGGCGTGCACACTGACTCGACAGCACCTAAAAACCACAGACAACCCTGTCGCCGGGGCTCTCCTTGCTCATTACATAGTGGACCTGGTGGAATCCTCACCACAGACCTGCCTGGGGACCTGACCCGCTGCTGTCAAGTGGACGCCAATGCTGGGTGACCTCGTGTGTCAGAGTAGAACAGCGCTCTGGGAGGCTGACCACGATGACCATCTTACGTAAATAAATCACTGAGCCCTCCTGGGCTTTCGTTGGACGGATTCCAGCCCCCGCCCCTCCTGTGAAGTCGCTGAGGGCAAACTGTTTGCACCACTCAGGCCCTTGGCATGTGCCTTCTTTCCAAGGGTCAGAGCTGTTAGCCCTCCCAGGTTAGAAGGAGGCAGCCCTGGGGTCGGACATGGGTCTCTCCTCTGGGCCAGTGCTGAGGGACGGTGCCTGGCTCTCTTGTCGCCCTGCCCCCCCCAAAGACTTCTGCCCGAACCCCCACCTCTGGGTGCAGGCAAAGCATATATTTAACCAGCCCGTGTCATGTGGAAGGCATGGGGTGTGGCCTCGGCCGCATTCCTGACCAGCCAGCGTCCCGCAGACCCACAATCACCACCTTGCTTGCAGCTTTTGCCTTTGTCATTTGTTTGCCCAGCCGGCCCTCTTCCACTCGTGGAAAGCCTCGACTCCCTCTCCTCGTTCCCGCCTTTCTTGGTGGCCTCACCACCAGTCTCCCTGCTGACCCCCCCTTCCTCCCCACCGCCTCCCAGTTCCACGGAGCAGCCAGGGCATTGTTTGAGAAACCCCAGCTCATAGTTCCACGGTCTCCCCGTGGCTCCCGGAGACTCCTTTCCATGGCCGGCCTCCCCGCCTCTCACACCCGACGCCAGCGGTCCGCTGCCTCTCTCTCCAGCCTCATCTCTGACCGCTCCCCCTCGGGCCCTGCTGCTGCATCCTGGGCTTCCTTCCCTTTCGCAACATGTCGCGCTCCCGCAGCCTCCAGGCCTTGGCCTTTGACTGATGGGGTTTTCCTCAAATGCCCATGGGGCGGCCCCTTTCTTCCCCACACAGACCCAATTCCGTACTTCCTCAGGCGAACCTGAAGGCACTCCCCATCACAGAACCCTGCTTGTGCTTCATGCACACCACCCCTTTCCTCTGAAATCCTGATGTCATTGTCCCAACGTCCCCCTGCCACCGCACATGCACTCACAGACTCAGAACAAACCAAACCCATGACCAGTGAGTCAGTTCTGACTCACAGCGACTCAAAGGTTTCCAAGACTGTAAATCGTTAGGGGAGCAGACAGCCTTTCTCCCACAGGGCAGCTGCTAGGTTTGAACTGCTTATCTTCTGTGAGCCAACCAATGCCTATGTGGAGAGGGTAGCTTGTTTGTTTTATTCACCCAGGGGTATAGTTGGGTGCTCAATCAACATTTGCTGGAAGAATCGATAACTAGCGCTATGAAAAAATCCAGCTGCCAGTGTGTCAGGCTCCCAGTCCTGACTGCGCCCCACCCCTCACCTGAAAGTACATGAACTTCATGAGCTTGGTGACCTCTGGCTCCAGCACCTCCACTGTTTTCTCATAGATCTCCACTCGGTTAGGCTGCTCGTTGCATTTCACCTGTGGGGGAGAAGTGGGGTCACACTCACTGGTTTGTCCAGGCGGCCCTGGCTCACACTTACTTTCTTAGAAACAGGGCCTTGTGTCATTCCTAAATGTACCTTGGTCTGGTCACCCTGGTGAGAAGGGGCGGGGTAGCCTTGTCCCACAGGCCTGATAGGGAGAGACTGTCCTCGAGAGGTGGCCTCAGTAGAATCTGATACTCTTCTTCTCCTCTCTAGGCTAAGCCCCTATCATGAATTGTACACATATCTTTTTAATTCTGCAAGTTCTCGCTCCTTCAGCCCCTCCCCATCTCATAAGGCATGGCCAGATTCTCTGCAGAGAAAAATGCTCTGCCCATTGCTCCAGATGTACTTGGGACAAAGCGCCCTCTAGCCATACCCAGGGCGACGTTGGTCTCTCTGAGATGTGCCATCAAGAAACCCATTGGCGTTCAGCCAGTGTGCCCTTTTGATTCACAGGAGTCATGCTCACAGCAGAGTGCCCCAGATGGCTAGCAGGTCAACCAGCTTCAAAGAGCAAACAAAGGCTGTCCGAGGACATTCTTTATACTGTTGGTAGGGCATTCTTGATGTGGTAGCAACAACTTAAATGGCCATTGGTTGAGGATTAAATGAATAAAATATACGATGGCGCATTCACAAATGTTATCCAGCTATCAGAAGGAACGTGATCGATCCTTGTGAACGGAGAGGAAAGGATGTGCACCGTATACCAGCCAGTGGACAAGCTGCAGAACAGTCAGCATAATGTGATCCCATTTGGGTCAGACCAACCCTGGAACAAACCTGAGAATGCACGTGCTGGTACAGCATTCAGGACCAGAGTCTACAAGGGTGCAAACCAAACTGCTCATAGTAGTCATCTCTCAGGACCCGGATGAGCAGGAAGGGAGGGGAATGCGTGGTTTCCTTTACATGCCTCTCTGGTTTTTAGGTTTTGTGAAGACAAGACCCACCAATCATAGGATCATGATAACCATAATATCTCTATGCGGCAACATGAGCAGTCAGTGATAAGGAATTCAAGGGGAGAAAGCAGGAGCTATGGACGAAAACTCATTTTTATCAATGCTAACAATTTATACATTAGTACATATGCAAAGCAAAAAGAGCCCGAAGAAAATATATCGTGCGGCATGGAGTGCTGAGGGTGTGAAGGGTTGGGGATACCTTACTTTGGGATACCCTTCTGCAATGGTGCAGGTGCAGCACAGTGAACAAACAGTGCTTTTGAAAGGAAATCTATTGAATATAATTTTTAAATGGACCTTGGCATCAGTTTCATGGACAGCTCTCCCGAAGGCTCCAGAGAGCACCCTTGGTCAAGAGACCCCGCTCTGCTCCTTGCAGAAGATGTTGTTCTCCCCTTTCTGTATTAGGGACCTGCAGGCAACAGCGCCCCCTGGAGGTAAGGAGGAACGCACGGTGGTAGGGGCAGTCTCACCTGGGGGATGGCCCGGGAACAGCTACGCCAGGTGTACAGCATGACCGCATACTCGTGCCCTTCTTCCAGCATTTCATTCTGAAATAGCAAAGCACGCTCAGTAGGGAGAAACTTACACTGGCACCATGGGACTGCCCAGCAGCCCCCGAAACCCTCGGGTATCACAGGACCTGCCGCCGGAGCGCCACCTGCGGGCCTCACAGAAATGCTGTATCTCAGCCCCCATCCCTGGACCTCTGGAAGGGGAATCTGCATCTCAACAGAATTCCCACATGACTCACATGCACAGAAAACTGGAGATGTACCGGCCTGTATCATCTACCACAGACACCCCTGGGCCATGCAACCAGGCCACGTGGTTCAGACAGATGGGCAGCCACGCTAGAAAGAATGAGGCAGCGCTCTGTGTTCCCACGGCAACAGGTGCCCCAGGAGAACGGCAAGTAGCAACACACAGGTACTGCTGGTGGGGTTATAAAAACCAAAAGCAAAGGTGGTGATTACACTAATGTGCATCATTATGGGCTGAAGGGGTTTTGGGTGGCCTATGCAGCACCAAGCTCAGACGAGCCAGGTTCTTCAGGGGGCTTTCACTCGTTCTGTCAAACGGCACCATAAGGTTTGTCGTCTTTCAAGAGCCCATGTGACTATGTCATCCACAGAACAGGCCTCATGTCAATTGTTAAAAATAACAAACAGAGCAGATGGCAAGACCAACAACAGCATGAGTCTGAAAACTACAGCCATGATTCAACTGATCTAGAAAATGCTACTGTGGAAAGATTAAATTCAGAGTCCAAATACATGCGCACAAATACCAGCTTCCTCACTTACTATCACTTTGCCCCTCAGGAAATCATGTCCTCA